CTTTACTTCGTGGGTACGTTTTTGTTTATTCGTGATCACGATTTTCTAATTTGTTCTCTTGTTTTCTTCTAATCGTTGTCATGCTTTATTTTTAACTGAACGCACGTTGTTTATTTTTTTATTCGTGCGCAAAATCAGTGTTGTAGATACAGGTCGTGTTTTTCGTCTGGTGCAGGAGTAACTAACAGCTCCCTGAGACTGTCTGATGGGTTCTGACGTGTTAGACTGATGAGATGATGGACAGAGATGCTCATCAGGTCTGATTCTGATTTGAAACTGCAACTCCTCTTCACAGCAAACGGCCCTAAGATTCTTCAGTGCAGCTGCAGTTTGGTGGAGAAATGAAGGAAGACAATAAACTACAACCACAATCTTCACTAAACTGCACTGTCTAATGATCATATTTAACACTGTTTCTGCTCCTGCAACAAGCTGCGGTGTTAGAGACCATCACACAATTACAGGAAGAAATGATCAGCGTCAACGTTTCAACAGACTCAAATTAAACACACACAGACACACTCATGTGGGATGGGGTCAAATGGCGAGAGAGTTTAACAGATCTATGGATTAGATGTGGATATATTAATGTGATGATGTTGAAACGCTGATCATTTCGTCCTGTAATTGTGTGATGGTCTCTAACACCGCAGCTTGACCGGGAGCAGAAACACCGTGGGCCGTTCGTTGTGAAGAGGAGCTGCAGTTTCCTCATAACCCCCCAAATCAGAATCAGACCTGATGAGCTTCTCTGTCCATTATCTCATCACTCTAACACGTCAAAACCCGTCAGACGGTCTCAGGGAGCTGTTATCAAAACACAAACAACGAGCGTTCAGTTAAAAATAAAACATCACCACGGTTAAGAGAAAACGAGAGAACGAATTAGAAAATCGTGATCAGCAATAAAAAAACGAACCCACGAAGTAAAGAAAACGTGCGCACGATTAAAAGAAAACGATTTAAGAAATCGTGACCACGAATAAGAGAAAACGTGCGTACGAACTACAAAACGTTCGCTCGAATTATTATTTTTTTTTACCTCCGTCCCCTCCGGGGCTCCGTAAAATAGTGACATGCGCAATAGAGAGAGAGAGAGAGCGAGAGAGTGAGAGTGAGAGAGAGAGAGAGAGAGAGAGAGAGAGAGAGAGAGAGAGAGAATGTGTGTGAGAGAGAGAGAGTGTATGAGTGAGAGCCTGAAATCTCTGTAAAAAGTCAAATCTGCTCGGTTTTAAAATAATAATCATATTAATCTAAATGTAAACTGGCTGGTTTAATATGTCAGTGTGTAACAGTGATGTGAGGAGATGTGCAGGACTGTAAGAACAGCTTTACTGAAGAACTGTAGATGTTCTTTCCTTTTTCTCTCTCTGTTATGGTGACTTCTTAATGTATGAGTTTTTATGATGTAGTTCAGTCAGCAGTGCTGAATCACTGCGTGTTTTATTAATGTATGAATCTTTACATTAATGTAAACAGTAACTGCACATTTTACAGGTATATTAAAGAAATTGTGTTTGATGATCTGCCAGAATATTCAGTTCTACAGTGAACCGCTCTGAGCCTCAGATCTTCACACACCCAGCCAGCATATCTCCAAATCTGTCCCACTGCAGAGCGGAGCAGGAAAAGGGTTTCTCTGCTTGTAAATCTCCACCAGGTGCATGATGGGAAATGGTTCAGTAAAATGGACATGAAGTGTTGAGGCTCCCAAAGTGGATTGATTTGTGTTGAAAGGACAAAATGGCTCTTCTTAACATTTGGGTTGTGACCCCTGACCTAGAGGTACCTGATGAAACAGTTAGTGTAACAGGCAGGACATTCACAACACATTCAAATGTTCAAACAAGATCAATCACTTTTACAGGAGCAGCTCTCAGATCTGTGATACAGATTAATGTTTAAATATGATGTAAGGGATTCAGTTCAGTTCTGTCAGCTGTAACTCTGTAAACGGAGGCTGGACTTCAGTCTGGCTGCTTAACCACATTTTACTCCACCTTAGATTGTGCCCTGCCCCCTACTAAACCTGGCAACTGTGTAAAGATGAATGTGACTATAGGATTGTAGTGTTGGCGCAGAAGAAGAACCAAGTCTGCCATTTTCTCTTAAAGGAACTCTTTACTCAAACAGATGGGAACCACAGGGAAAAGAGGGGGAAAGGGCACCAAAACACAAACACAACATGGGAGGGAAGTAACTCCAAAAGGGTGGACCATAGCTTCAAATGTAAGGGCGAAACTCCAACTGGGTGGACCATAGCGTTAAATGGGAGTGGCAAAACTCAGAATGGGTGGGCCATAGCTTTAAATGGAGGGGTGAAATTCCAAATGGGTGGGCAGTCGCTTCAAATGGGAGGGGCAAAACGCAAAATGGGTGGACCATAGCTTCACTGTGCTTTATAGTGAACTACCCTAATCATTAGTTCACTATTACCTAATGAGTAGTTAACTAGTAGTCCTTGGTAGTTAAGAGTAGTTACTGCTGTTAATGTAGCACTACTCATTCGTTCCTGGTTAGTTCCTGATTAGTTAGTTATTAACTATGAAACAGTATTGTAAAGTGTTACCACCTAAATTTGATTTAAACCATTCTAAAACTGCCCTAGAAACCGACCCAGAATTCAAGATGCTGGATTAAAATCTTGTGGTCAATGGTATCAAAAGCTGCACTGAGATCTAATAAGACCAGAATAGAAGGATTTTGTGCATCAGCACTGACGCTGACCACATTCATAACATGAACCAATGCCGTCTCTGTACTGTGGTCAGAATGAAAACCTGACTGAAGCTTCTCATGTAACTTGATTGATATTAGATACACATTTATATTTATTATTAACGAGCACAGAACGTCGTAAGGGGGCCGGACTCACTAGAGCTGAGTCTGTTTTAGACTGATATGGAACCATTTAACAGAATGGCACTTAACAGAGCCTCCTTTCTGGAGCTGGTCCAGCCTGCAGGGCGTGTCTGGGGTTATTTTGATAACCACCTTATCAGGAGTGCACAGTAAAAGTGTCTCGTCAGATCTGCCTAAAAATGAGTTCATGCTGAACAAATAAATTAACCAGTTTAATCACCAGTAAATCAATATTTTGTATGAACGATTCTTTAAACGCTTGACTGTTAATGATCTGCGCCTGCGCGGTCGGACCTGTTAGGGCGGGTAGTCAGAACACCTGTGAAGTAGAATCGAAAGTAACAGTGAACTGCAGACACTTCGTGATTTCAGCGTCCTCTCCTGACCTCTGAGGAGTCCGGGAGCAGAAGGAGTCTGGAATAGACCATTAAAGAAACAAGATTAAAGAAACAAGCAGGCAAAGAAAACACATTCAACTCAAACCTGCTTAACCACATTTTACTCCACCTTAGATTGTGTCCTGCCCCTACTAAACCTGGCAACTGTGTACAAATGAACATGACTGTAGGATTGTAGTGTTGGCACAGTAGCAGACCCAAGTCTGCCATTTTCTCTTAAAGGAACTCTTTACTGAAACAGATGGGAACCACAGGGAAAAGAGGGGGAAGGACACCAAAACACAAACACAACAAAAGGGAGGGGCGTAACTCCAAAAGGGTGGACGATGGCTTTAAAAGGGAGGGGCGCAACTCCAAATGGGTGGGCCATAGTTTTAAATGTGAGGAACGAAACTCCAACTGGATGAACCGTAGCTTTAAATGGGAGGGGCAAAACTCTGAATGGGTGGGCCATAGTTTCAAATGGGAGGAGTGAAACTCCAAATGGGTGGGCAGCCGCTTCAAATGGGGGGGTGAAACTCCAAATGGGTGGACCATAGCTTCAAATGGGAGGGGTGTAACTCCAAATCGGTGGACCATAACTTCAAATGGGAGGGACGAAATGCAAAATGGGTGGACCATAGCTTCAAAAGGGAGGGGCAAAACCCCAAATGGGTGGATCATAGCTTCAAAAGGGAGGAGCAAAACGTAAAATTGGTGGACCATAGCTTCAAATGGGTGGGGCGTAACTCCAAATGGATGGACCATAGCTTCAAATCAGAGGGGCAAAATGCAAAATGGGTGGACCATAGCTTCAAATGGGAGAGGCATAACTCCAAATGGCTGGACCATAGCTTGAAAAGGGAGGGGCAAAATGGATTGACCATAGCTTCAAAAGGGAGGGGCATAACTCCAAATGGCTGGACCATAGCTTCAAAAGGGAGTGGCGTAACTCCTAATGGGTGGACCGTAGCTTCATATGGAAGGGAAGAAACTCCAGCTGGATGGACCATAACTTCAAATGGGAGGGGCAAAATGCAAAACGGGTGGACCCAAGCTTCAAATGGGAGGGCCATAACTCAAAATAGGTGGACCATAGCTTCAAATGGGAGGGGCATAACTCCAAATGGGTGGACCATAGCTTCACTGTGCTGAGCCCCAGATCTTTACATGCCCAGCCGACATATCTTCCCATTTGTACCACTACAAATCAGAGAACGAAAAGCGTTTCTCTGCTTGTAAATTTCTACCAGGACCATGAAGGGAAAATGTAAAATCAGAAACACAATGAAGAATCAGTAAATTTTAAGGTCACTCTTAAAAAGTGTCTGTCAGATAGTAATCAGAATGTTGCTATGAGGAAAAAAGACAAAAAAACACATCCTACTCAAACCTGCTTAACCATATTTTACTCCACCTTAGATTGTGCCCTGCCACCTACTAACCCTGGCAACTGTGTAAGATGAATATGACTGTATATGACTGAATAGGATTGTAGTGTTGGCACAGAAGCAGAAGTCTGCCATTTTCTCTTAAAGGAACTCTTTACTGAAACAGATGGGAACCACAGGGAAAAGAGGGGGAAGGGCACCAAAACACAAACACAACATGAAGGTGGTGGACACACTAATTAGTAAATGCACAGAAAACATGATAAAACATGATAAAAAAAACAACACAACTGTCGTGAAGTCATAACACATATTAGACTCATAAATTTCAACATGTGCAACATTAATTGCTTCCTGAGAGGCACTTTGCATGGCCAAACCCCATCCCCATGGCAGCGTGGCCCATGGCCCAGGTTTGGCTGTCTTGGTGACCACACAGCCCAAACAAAGTCCCTAGGGTGCACGAAGTCCTGTCCTGTCCAGCACAAGTGCACCCCCAGGCACCCCAGGCACCCCAGTCCTCTCTCAGGCCTGTGTCCTTGGGTTAGGGTTAGGTTTAGCCAGTAGAGCCTCAGCTGCAACTGCTTCAGTGTCTTGCCCGCTCCAAAGGGTCCAATGCCAGCTGCTCCATGCACAGTGCCCAACACCATCTTCCTTAGGTTTCCCAGGCACAGCCTCCTCCCACACACAGCACAACATCTAGTCATGCATCCCAGCCATCACAAAGCATCTTAGCAGTGAAGTCTGCCGAACAGAGTTTCTGTCCTGTCTGGAGCCATCCGCAGAGGAATCTTGAATCTAGCTGCCTCAAACAACTTCACTTATTATAAAAAGTTCAAATGTAGTCTTATAAAAGGATTCAGAGATCAGATTATTCTTCATTTTAATGTGGGTGCAGATTGAACTACTCAGCGTCCTTTAAAGTGTACTTTAGATCTCCCTCACTAAACCTACTATAATCCTGCTAACACAGGGTGATATGTGCTTTCCTCAGCTGAAGTACAGTGAGCGGTGTCAGACTTTTAGTACTTTGTTTGCTTGTGGATAGCAAAGTTTGTTAAGTTAGCTCACCGACAAGCTGTCTCCAGAAACTGATCTACACAAAGCTTTAAGCCATAACAGAGAACTTATCTGGTTGATTTTAGATAACAAAACCTCATTAACTGGTCTTTGCGTTAGAAGTGTATACTGATTCAGTGGTCCAAGACCATTTTTCTACAGGAGTGTAATCAAACGTGGTATGGTATAAAAAGGTTATCATATTCTCAGACTGATGATTCTGGGATAATTGTGACACATTTAAAATGTAAACTACATTTAGTAGGCGGTAATAAAGCTTTTCAAATTAATCATTCTTAATGTTGAATCACTGAAATTGAAGACAGGAAACATATTCTCTGAAAGGGAATTGGTTTGGGCTGAACCTTTGTGGAAAAATGTGCAATAAACTTTTTTGACATCCATTAAGATTTACATTCATTAATTAATATATTTTTTATTAATTAAAATTTGGCTAATATTATGTATAAATTTAATAAATACCACCAAACTATTGTGCATACTTTTGTAATCCTGAGGAAATATATAATTTTGACATTTCCAGTCTTTGGGAAACCCCTTGGGTGCTGGATCAGAACTTCATTGGCATGTGATTTAGAACTGTGATACATGTAGCTTTGGATATTTTTCAAATTTCCATCAAAGAATATTATTACTTCAGGTAGTGTTAATAGTTCAGAGACTGTACCAGGGAATATGTTAGACATTACATCTCATATAAATACTCTTTCCTCCCGTAATGAGTCTGTTTATCCCTCTGACTGTCTGTCTGTTGTTCTCTGCTTTGTAGAGCTCAGAGCTGTGGTGTTTGGGGGGAAGTTTGCTGGGAAGACCACACTGATCAATGCCGTGTTTGGAGAAGGCTTCCTGCCGAATCAGAAGAGGACTGCCCAGTGCAAGAAGCTACGGGGAAATGTGTGTGGAAGAGAGCTGATGCTGGTTGACACTCCAGGCTGGTGGAAGCATTTTCCACTGAGCGACACTGCAAACTTTCTGAAAAAGGAGCTCATTCAAGGAGTCTCTTTGTGCCATCCAGGACCCCATGTGATCCTGTTGGTCATTGAGATTGACATTCCATTCACAGAGAAGCACAGAAAAGCTGCAGTGGATCACCTTGCACTCCTTGGTGACCAGATCTGGACACACACTCTTGTGCTGTTCACTAGAAGCCGCTCTCTGGGGAACAGAACTATAGAAGAGCACATTGAAAAAGAGGGGGAAGCTCTAAAGTGGCTGATAGAGAAATGTGGGAACAGATATCATGTCTTTGACAGTACAGTCTCAGATAAAACATCTCAGGTGACGGAGCTGCTGGAAAAGATTGAGGATATAGTGAGAATAAATGATGGTGCTCATTTCCAAATTGAGGCAAAGATACTGGAGGAGGCTGCAGAGTGGAAGAGGACTGTGATGACCAGAGCAAAGTCCAGAGAGTTAAAACAACGAGAACGACTTGACAAAGAGGGTAAGTTACAGTCAGATTGGTGAAAAAACATCATCATGGTTGATTAGCTCAATCTCACACTGAAAAAAATTGTTAAAAAATCAAACCTTTAATTGATGTAAATTTATTCATAGATCCTCAAGTTAATACTTAGAAATTTGTGCAACCTCCATTTGCCAACATAACTGAGAATACAGAGCTGAAATCACTTCCCAATACAGATTTTCTCTCCTAATTCTCCAGAGTCCTCATATATATATATATATATATATATATATATATATATATATATATAGTGATGTCTTAAGTACTTAAATAGTCACTCAAGATGATCCTACTTATTTTCTTAAAATAAGACAATCTTGTTTTCCTGCATCGGCTAAGGTAAGATTAACATTAAATGTTTCAAGATGTCTTTAATTCACCAGTGGCTCGATCACAATGTTTAAGCTCTTGGATGTATCAATATAGAAGCAGTCACACTTGGTAGGAGAGATGAGGACATAAATAACAAGATTTTAAAATAGGAAGCATTTTGGATTCATACTCTAGGTACCATGGCACCAGCAAGGATGAATGATCAATTTCATCTTGCATGTTTTAAAATGTCCACTGTAAAAAAAAAATTCAAGCAGCTGTGATCTCTTGCTTTTTCTCTTTGCAGAGCCAACGCACCATTAAGCATGTCAAAAAACGCGAAGTGGAACTCCCTTTTTTTGACATTTTCACTCATCATTATCAATCATCATCATTATCATATTCTTATTCTGCTTGATCCAGCTAGGGTCGCAGTTGCAATAGGGAAAGCAGAGAAGCCCAGACAGCCTTGTCCCCCTGCAATTTCCTCCAGCTCATTCTGGAGGATCCCGAGCCACTCCCAGGCCAACTTGGAGATATAATCCATCCAGTGGGTCCTGGGATGACCTTGGGGTCTCGTCTCAGTTGGCTGTGCCTGGTAAACCTCCGAAGGGAGGATCAGATGCCTGAACCACTTCAACTGGCTCCTTTCAATGTGGAGGAGTAGCAGCTCTACTCTGAGCTCATCCCGGATGACTGAGCTTCTCACACTGTCCATTAGGTTATAGACCACCACCCTGCGAAGAAAGCTCATTTCCACTGCTTGTACTCATGATCTCATTCTTTCGGTCGTTACCTTAAATCTCATGACCACAGGTGAGGGTTGGGATGTAGACTGACCAGTAAAGAGAGAGCTCTGCCTTATGGCTCAGCTCCCTCTTCACCACTACAGTCCAGTACAGTGACTGCATTACTGCTGCCGCCTGTCCCAGCCTGTGGCCGATCTGACTATCCCTCTTCCCATCACTCTCAACAAGACCTGTGCCTGGTAAACCTCCAATGTGAGGCAGCCGGGGGGGCATCCTAATTAGATGCCTGAACCACCTCAACTGGCTCCTTTCAGTGTGGAGGAGTAGCAGCTCTACTCTGAGCTCCTCCCAGAGGACTGAGCTTCTCACCATATCAAGTAGGCCACTGCCCATTACCCTGTGAAGAAAGCTCATTTCCGCCGCTTGTATCTGCAGTCTCATTCTTTCGGTAATTAATCAAAGTTGATGACCACAGGTGAGGGTCGGGATATAGGCCAATCAGTAAAACAGAGAGCTTTGCCCTATGGCTCAGGTCTCTCTTCAACCCTACAGCCCAGTACAGTGACAGCATTACTGCTGCTGCCTGTCCCAGCCGATAATCTCACCATCCCTCCTCCCATTACTCATGAACAAGATCCCAAGATACTTAAACTCCTCCACCTGGGTCCTCTCCCCTTATCTGGAGGAGTCATGCCATCCTTTTCCGGGTGAGGACCGTGGACTCATACTTAGAGTTGCTGATCTGCATACCAACTATTTAACACTCAGCTGCAAACTGCTCCAGTGAGCACTGGAGGCATCCATGTGATGGAGCCCACCATCCGGCCTCTACGCATAATGCCCTCCTGACTTCAGCTATGCCTTGACATCCTGTCCATTAATATCACAAACAGGAGTGATGACAAGTCATAACCTTGGCAGAGTCCAACAACCACTTTAAACAAGCTTGCCTTAATGCCGAGTATACGGACGCAGTTCTCACTCCGGAAATATAGAGATTGTGATGAAGAAAAAGTGGTGATCAGTTGGCAGTTCAGCACCTCTCTTCACCTGAGTGTCCAGAATGGTCTCAAGTCAGATGAAACAATTAAAAATGTTGATCACTGACCTTTGAATAAGGAGCTCTGGTACCAAATGCACTTATGAACATCCTTGTGTTCAGTCATGGTGTTCAATCCATGACTAGCACAGAAAGTCAATAACAATTCACCATTCAAGTTTAGATCGGACAGGCCATTCTTCCCAATCACTCTATCCAGGTTTCCCAGTCATTGCCAATGTGAGCATTGAAGTCTCCCAGCAAGACTATGGATTCCGTAGGTCTCACCCACTTGCTAAAAGAAGGCCAAATACACAAAACTGTTGTTTGAGCGTAAATAACATTGAGGAGACCCTCCAGTCCACTGGGACAAACTAACTACACGGCAACTTGCTGGGGGGCTTGTGCATATACCCATACCCAGCCAGTGCCACACGCCCTGTGAAACTCCCATATAAAAAGGTTTCCAGGGCCGACACTGTAAATGGAGGTGAGCCCAAATATGTTTAGTTGGTACCTCTCAACCTCTCACACAAGCTCTGACTTCTTCCCTCCCAGTGAGGTGACATTCCAGGTGCCAACAGCCAGTTTCCACCGCAGGAGTCAATGCCGCCTAGGACCTCCCCACCATCTCCTTCTCTCTAGAAGGCACTACACCAGTCCCCTATGCTGAACTTGGCGGGTCGTGGGCCCACATTGTCCCCCTACTTTGCCTTTTCAGCCTGAGCCCAAGAGGGTTACATGAGCTTGGCACTTGCCGAGGAACACTACCTCAGGCCTGGCTCATGGGGTAGGTCCTGGTAACCCTCTACCGTGCAAAGTACACAATATATAATGTCCATTATTCATAGCTGATTTTGGATCATGTTAGTCTGGGTCTTGACTCCATATGTGTTCGCCTTGAAGACCCTACCAGGAGCATACTGCTCCAGATGACATAGCTCTGAAAATCCCTAGTCCACACAAAACCTTCCGCCATGCCAAGGTCCCAATCTGGGAAGGACATCATTATCAAGAATGGAACTGTTATGGATCTGCCTTCCTATTTCTGTGTCTGAGTTATATTTTATTGTTCTCTGTAAAATGTTGTACTTTTTTCCTCAGAGCTGAGAATCGCATTGCTGGGTTGGGTGATTGCTGGGAAGAGTTCAGCAGGAAATACCATCCTTGACAAAAAAGTGTTTGTTACTGATCAAAGTACTCTTGAATGTCAAAGTGGATGTGGGGAAGTGGATGGAAGACCAGTAACTGTGCTCGATACACCCAGCTGGTTTAAGTACTTTCCTGCTCAGTACACTCCAGCATGGATAAAGTCTGGAATTTTCAATGGTGTATTTCAGACTGTCACCCCCCCACATTGCATACTTCTAGTGATTCCTGCAGACACATCATTCCACGAGGAACAGAGAAAGGTCATTGAAGAGAATATGAGCTTACTCGGAGAGCAGGTGTGGCGACACACCATTGTACTTTTCACATGGGGTGACATACTTGGAGACGTGACCATAGAGCAGCACATTGAGAGTGAAGGTGAAGCTCTGCAGTGGGTGGTCGAGAAATGTGACAACAGATATCACATCTTCAACAATGAGGACAGAAGGAATCGTGTTCAGGTTACAGAACTGCTCCAGAAGATTGATCAGCTGATGGCTCAAAACAGTTCATTCCAGCTGAATGCTGAGATGTTTGGTGGAATTCATGCAAAGCAAGAAGAAGATGCACAAACAGAGACCACTGATGAGTATAACCTACAGGATATTGTCCGATTTGTGGATGAGGAATGGAGAAGAAGGGACAAAGAGTTTCTGAAAAGGGTTTCAAAGGTGAAGAAAGACATAAAGGCTGTACAAAGGGGAGATGCAAGTTTAGAATTCCCTCCTGACCGTGAGTGTCTTTATAATCCCTACATAAGCCTTCAGCTGTTTTAAGCTGTTACAATAGAAATAACCTCACATATTTTCTGCAGTGAGTGAGACGAGATTAAACACTGAGACAGAGGATCACACTGATGAGAAAGTGTCTCAAACAGAGCCGGAGTCTCGCAGTGAGTAAATCAGTCTACCTGTTTGCCGTATTGTAAAGTTTTACCAATTGCATTGTCCAAGAATTTTCAGAATTCTACTGTATTCAGGTCTGTTTTATGTTTTCTAAGAAAATCATGGCACAACACAGATGTCACTGTGTCTCTGTGTCTGCATTCAGATGTAGGAACAGTTCAGGATGAGGCTAAAAGCACCCTGAAACTCAAGGATCAGATTAAAGAGATGCTTGATCGGGAGTGGAGCAGACGAGAAGAGGCACTGATGGGAAGATTTCAGGAAATGTTGAGCGATCAGGGATGGGGTGAGCGACAAATCTACAACTGTATGTTACCAAATAAAGTAGTTAATACAAGGTGCAAAATACAGGAAACAACCTAATTACCCTCTTGGACCCCTTGAATGTCTCAAAATCAAAATTCTGGGGGGTCCCTGAAAATAAGCTTATGACGTCATGCTGTCCTTTAGGGAAAAATAGACACTTAAATACATATTCAAGGAAATCTCATTTTTACATGTTTAGCTTTTGTCACCCACAAGACTCTGAGATTCTGTCTTTGATATGTAGCACTGCTCTGCCTCAAGGTGGCGCTGTAGCAGACTGGTTCACCCAGTTGGTCCTTCATAGCCTAGAAATTGTAACTCTGCCCGGATTCCTCTGAAAAACTTTACAATGAGCTGCAGCAGATCTGTAAATCTGAAAACTCGCCCAGTTTCCCAAGAGTTTGGAGTGAAGAGTGACTGTTCCTCATTTCTCACACTGAAGACAGAAGAGGAGACGAGGAAGATCTCAGTTACTGTGAGGAAGAGCGCAGAACCGCACTAGAACAGAGACTCTACAGAAGAGGAGACGAGGAAGATCTCAGTTAATGTGAGGAAGAGCACAGAACCGCCCTAGAACAGAGACTCTACAGAAGAGGAGACGAGGAAGATCTCAGTTAATGTGAGGAAGAGCGCAGAACCGCACTAGAACAGAGACTCTACAGAAGAGGAGACGAGGAAGATCTCAGTTAATGTGAGGAAGAGCGCAGAACCGCACTAGAACAGAGACTCTACAGAAGAGGAGACGAGGAAGACCTCAGTTAATGAGAGGAAGAGCGCAGAACCGCACTAGAACAGAGACTCTACAGAAGAACAGCTGATAAAACAAACATTTTTTGACATTAAAGTATCAGCGACACTGTGGTGAGTGAGTGAGTTAGCAGTCAGACAACGCTGGAGTAGCCAGCCAACATGAGACTTCCTGAAAAGCAGAGGGGGATTTCACACACTGATTATAATGAACTCTTAAGCTGTGGATTTTATCAGACCACAGTTTTAGATGATAGATGATAGAAACGGGACTGACAGCTAGTTGTTCTGTTTACTGTATTCTGACTTCTGTGCTGTTCCATTCTTCCACAGAGACCCAGTCTGAGCCAACTGACGATGACAAAGAAAGATCCAAAATCAAAGTCTCCCACTGGTTCCGGGACTGCTCTGAAGGATATGGGTCGGCTCAAGGCAGTGTTCAGTCAGAATGACATCATCATAAGAGTTTTCTGTGACCTTTTCTGACCAGATAAATCAATACTACAATAATGAAACGTGTAATCAGTTCTGCTGTACTTTGTGTTTCTGTAATTTAAAGGGGAATTTCAGTTTTCTGAATGATTTAGACTTTGAGTCATTCAGAGTGGTTTGATGTGAAGTGATTAATTGTAGAGAAACATACAGACTCAGGTTTCTTTACAGTGGTGTCAGATTTCTTTACTGGGGTCATCATGACTACAACACAAATATAACCATTTTATTTACTATCCAAAACCACCAGTGAACCTGATCTTCTGAGTTTTATATGGAATGTTTATGGTAAAATAAACATTATTCTGAAAAATACAGGACACAAGGTGACCCAGGGGTTAACACAGGGGTGGAGTTAATCACTCTACCAGGTGATTGGTGGCCTCTGATTTGTACAGACAGTCTACGTGAATGAGATAATACATAATACATCATTTTTAAACTGCGTCACTTTTTCAGCCTCCATATTTGACTTATGGCATATGCTGATAGCGTCTCTGTTTGTCCAGATCTGGAGCTGCCCAGGGGTGAGTTTAGGGTCTGAATATTGGGGCTACTGCTGCAGGATTGCTTTCTACTGCCAAAAAGTGTTTAATATGAATTATGGGCTTAATAACTGTCATGTATGTATAGATAATTATAGATAATTAAACAAACTGTACTGAACCATTGTAGTCCATTGTCTTTATTGGGTGTTCCATAGTTCACCAGCTTCACTCATCGTGGTAGCTACTGTGTGATTTTCTGACGCAGTTGACAAAGTTAGTTATTTAGTTAGTACCAAGTTTTATCAGTCGGCCTTCACCAGAGTTTATTACAGTACAGCAGTTACCATGGTCAAAATACAGGAAACTGGAACTGACCCCCTTTTTATTTTATAACTTAAACATTACTAACTTTGTAAAACAAAATATAACAAATTAACACACAGATATACATGTAGGTAATTCATCCAGAATGAAGTTCTATTAAAACTAATGTCCAAAATGAAGTTCTAATAAAATTTATATCCAGAATAAAGTTCTACTAAAATTAACATCCACAATGACATTCTAATAAAATTAAAGTCAATAATGACATTGTGATAAAATTAACATCCAGAATGAACTTCTAATAAAATTCATATCCAGAATCAAGTTCTAATAAAATTAACCTCCAGAACGAGGTGCTAATAAAATTGACGTGCAGAATGAAGTTCTAATATAATTAACATCCAGAGTGAAGTTCTAATAAATGAATATCTGGAATAAATGTGTGATAAAATTCACATACTGAATTAAATTCTAATTAAATGTTTATTCAGAATGGAGTTCTAGTGCAATTAACCTAATTGATAAAGTTCTGATAAAATTAACCACGATAAATTTCTGGTAAAATGAATATCCAGATTGAAATTCTAATACAAGGAATCTAGAATGAAGTTCTATTAAAAATAAAGGAAGTGAGGCTGCATCCCTGTCCCTCATGGCCACATGGTGAGCAGGTAGATCCCATTGTTTTGACGTAAATGTGTCCCAAAGTCTGAAAATCAGTGTGGAACATTAAGAATCGCCATATTTTCTGCAGTTCAGCACTTTTTAGTGTTTTAATGTAAAATATGATGATTTTCTGTGTGAACAGCTGTTCAAAGCTGTGTTTGCTGGTCATGTGCTGGCTGAGTTTCTGAGCTCAGAATGAGCAAAAATTGTCACTGAAACAGTCACTACTGAAACATTTGGTACAGTTTGGTAGCGTTATGATTGTTTTGGTAGAGACAAAGTGGAATGTTTAATCATTAGTTTTAATAAAATAATCATAATCAAGGTTTAGAATCACTCAGAGCAAAAGGATTTTAGTCTGAAGTCCAAGATCAGCTAAAAGTCCCAAATGTGTTTCAGCTTTGAGTTTGAACCAGTTCAGTAGAATGATGCATATGTTCGGTTTGAGGTCTGGAGGTTTTATTGTTTATATTTATCATCAGAACAGACTGTGAGTTTGTGACCAAGGTCTTAAAGAGCATGTTTATCCGGGATGGTTATTTTTTTATGTCTAACCACAGATTAGAATTACTAAAAATGTTATAAAGGGCAGACTTGAGTGCCATTGAAATAAAATAAAATGAATGATTAAATAACCAAAAATAATACGAGAAAAGGAAATAAATGACTTTATCAAAAGCAGAACTGAACCTTCACCACACTTGACTCAGCACCATGTATTTGAACTGTTAAAGACTCCACAGAGATAATATCCTGTAACTCTAGTCCTAACACATACACGGAGTTCCAGCACTTCCAGTATTAATAATATTTCAGCAGATAGAAAGCAGATAAAAGTACAGACAGGGGCTGAACGTACATTAAAGCCTCATTAAAGTTTCAATTTGAATGTTAAATTATTGAACACATGCTCAGTTATACGGCATTAAATGTTCAGAATTGTTATTCATCAGGTACAGATGTACCAACCCAATTTGAAAAAAGTTAGAACAGCAGGAAAAATGTAAATATATATGGACAGTAATTATCTGTATATGCTTTTTGACCTGTATTCAATTGGAAACAGTACACAGACAAGACATGTAATGTTTCAACAAATTAGCTTTAGTTTATTTGACTATAGCGTTTTGTATATATACTGTAACGTTCTGCATTATTGAAGAAGACTGTGCTTCTGTATTTGCTTCACACACGGAATGATTTTTTTAGGTTTGCTCTAAGTCTCACTGAATCTACGTTGCCCAACTGCCAGCAATAAACTGACACTGCTCTTCCTGAACTAAGTATAAACCAGTGTAAACAAAAGCCTCGTTCCACCTTCACTACAAGAGTCCTTCAAAAAATCAAACCTAGAAAATAATGCTGGGGACAATCAACCCAAATAACATGTACCCCTTTTTCTGAACTCACCACAATACGCTTATTCTAAACTTGATGCCTGCTTCATGTTCCAATAAAGTTGGGACAGGTGTTGGTTTACCACTGTGGTACATCATGTTTCCTCTTAACGACATTCAGTAACCCTTTGGGAACTGATTGTTGTAGTTGTGAAAGTGTTTTTTTTTTTCTGTTTTTGCTTGGTATAACAGCTCAACAGCTCAACAATCTCTGTTGTCATATGTTGCAGTTTATAATGCACCACACATTTTCAATGGGACACAGTTCTGGACTGCAGGCTGGTCAGTCTAGCACCTGCACTCTCTTACTTCAAAGCCATGTTGCTGTAATACATGCAGAATTACCCACTAATACCCCCCACACCATAAAAGATGCTGGATTTTGAACTTCACGCTGGTAACAATCTGGATGATCCTTTTCTTCTTTGGCCCGGAGAACACGACGTCCGTTATTTCCATAAACAATCTGTAAGGTTGACTTGCCAGACAACAATGCATGTTTCCACTGAGCATCAGTCCATTTCAGGTGAGCCTGAGCCCAGAGAAATTGGCGATATTCATTACAGAAGCATGTGTGTTTTTAACGCAGAGCCGCCTGAGGGGTCAAAGGTCATTCAGTGGTGGTTTTCAGCCTTTTCCTTTAAGCACAGAGATTTGTTTGGATTCTAGGAACCTTTTAATAGTGTGGCATCCACTACGGGTTGTGCAGAATGTACAGCTCTGAATATGAACGTCTTATATCCCTGTATGGACCCCGTTATGAAATTTTTAGATTTAACAAAAGCATCAGCTGATGGGTTTTGATTCCACTAAAACAGTTTAATTTGATGCAAGAAAATGTCATTTATAAACGATAATGGACTCCAGAGGGTAATGTTATTCATGAAAACGGTCATTGTATATAGATAAATATATAGCTCTTAATGAGCTGGGGTGGGAACACATGCAGGACCAGGGGTCTCCAGGGCTGGAGATGAGGACCACCCATCTAGCTCCTGCTCTGGATCTGTATTCCCTAAAGGAGCAGTGTCATTTATACATGACACATCGTTTTTAAGTTAGGAAGATCTTTTATTACTACATGCTATGTGAAACTAACTGTTGTAAAATGTCTTAAAGAAGCATAAACTTTTTTTTAATCTGACTTTGTGGTATTTAAATACATCCAAATGTTCATAATGTCATGATGTGTCATGATGTGACTATGCTGTGCTCTGACCATGCATTGCAAAAGCTAGCAGTCCATGTTTATGTTGCCTTTTAAACCAAAGAAGTCATTCAGCAGCAGAATTCTAACTTTAATGGTAAAAAAGCAGTTGTTGAGAGATTTCTTGGGCTTAACATGAAAAACTAGTTGTATTTCTTTACTTCTTAAAGAAATGACAGAGCCCAGAGAGGAAAGTTTAACATTGTGGTACAGTGTGTAAGCGCGTCCCTCAGATAGTTACAGCTTAATAACAGCTTTAAGTAACTCAGTAGGTCATTAACTCCCCCTTTGACAAACAGGACCAGCCCCTGTTAATCACCCACGATGCTATTTATTTTAATTTTTTATTTTTGAAGGAAGTATACAACACTATAACATAAGACAACAAACAGTCAGGAGTGTTCTTTAAATAAATCATATTAAATAAGTTATATTAAATATTAAATAAATCATAATGAATACATAATTCTTAATAAAGTCCTTTTTGCTTTCTTGTTCTTTATATTTTTTAAAAGTATGGCCATAGTCCTTAACCTCATGGAGAAAATGTGTAAAATCTGGCTGATATTCAGACCATCTGTTCTTATGTAAATGATATTTACCCATAATAAGTAATGTACAAAACGGAATACTTTAACATCTAATCTGTCCATAGAAAAATCAATAATAACACCTGAAACATACAGTGTGATATGGTGTCCAGTTTTTTTTTTACAAAATTTCCCACATCAATCCAGAACTTTTCAGCATAAGTGCACTGGAAAAACAGACTGGTTTCCTTTTCTAAATCAGAAGGGATTAGAAAAGGAAAAAGGTACAGGAATATTCATTAATGATTTTTCTTTTCTTTTGCCAGGGTACATACTGTGTAGAATTTTAAAGACACTTTATTTTATTATTCATACAATATTCATCACAAATTGTCCATGCTTTATTCCAGTTTATTATCTCAAACACAAAAGACCAAAAAGGCTGTTGATAAATTATTGCATTAGATTAGACTTCCCTAATATATTTGTTAGTACATCTGTATTTAAGGATACCAGTTTCCCCCATAAAGAGAGATCATTCCCTGTGACATCCACACCACTATGTGCTGAACCCAGAGGAAGCTGCACCATTTGTTGTGATATAGCATCAAAAACCTACAGCATGTTCTTCTGCTGTGACTGGCTCTCCTGATAGACTAAGACATCCACTAAATGTCTATTAAAAAAGCATTTCAGAGTTGTTTACTCAACTGCGATGCAGAATCTTCGCGACCTGCATCATCGCGTACGACTGGCACGCGCACAGACGCACGCATCCATCTGCGCGTAATCACGCACGGCTTGTACCAGCGCACCATGTTCTGCTCGCCCGCGCTCCACAATGTGTCACGTGAGCACGGACTCACTCTCGCGCCCTCCTTCCTTTCATATAAAAGCGCGAGGCGTGGGCGCGTGGGCCACCCGAGCGGGATTTGGAGATGTTTTTGCGCGCGGTGTATTTGGCGCTGTTGGCGCAGCTGAGCTTAGAGAAACACGCCGGACCTGCTGGACGCGCGCGCGGCAGATGGAGTCAGGACGAGGACAGCGGGCAGCACAGCGCGGGTGAGACTGTTATCTTAAATATATCTGCAAATAAATCGAAGATATGCACAGATTTTATAGAGTATATATACAGTGGTGCTCGAAAGTTTGTGAACCCTTTAGAATTTTTTACATTATTGCATAAATTTGAGCTAAAACTTCATCAGATTTTCACACAAGTCCTAAAAGTAGATGAAGAGAACCACATTAGACAAATGAGACAAAAATATTAGACTTGGGCATGTACTTATTGAGGAATACATACATATGTGACGTGTATGTGTGTGTACATATATATATATATATATATATATATATATATATATACATATATAAACTGTACTATGTATTTGTCATGTACTTCTTTCCTGAATGTGGTGGCTGTACGTTACTTGCTATTCTTTATTTTATCTGGTTTCATTTTTCGAATTGTGTTATATTATTATTATTATTATTATTATTATTATTATTATTATTATTATTGTTGTTGTTATTATTACTGCTTTTCTCTCTCTCTTTGTCTTCTTCATCACTCTGATTAATTCTGCTCCTTCTTAATAAGTCTGCGTTAGAATGTGAGCCTCTGTTGTTCAGCTGCCCACAGGTCCAAACCTCCGTTCTTAACTTCTTCAGCTTATGAATGATTCCAAGAACTTACTTTAATAAAAGCTGAGATCATATCTCCAATAAACTGAGAGTCTGATCTAATGAACCAAGTCTGAGTTTTCTGATCTTCCTCTGTTGTTCCTCTTGTGTTCTTCTGTTCCTCTGATGTCACTCTGAGGTTATCTGACATTCCTCTAGTGTTCTTTTGATGTTCCTCTGATGTCACGCTGAGGTTCTCTGACGTTCCTCTCTTGTTCTTCAGTTCCTCTGATGTCACTCTGAGGATATCTGACGTTCCTCTCGTGTTCTTCTGTTCCTTTGATGTCACTCTGAGGTTATCTGACGTTCCTCTCGTGTTCTTCTGTTCCTTTGATGTCAATCTGAGATTATCTGACGTTCCTCTCGTGTTCTTCTGTTCCTCTGATGTCACTCTGAGGTTATCTGATGTTCCTCTGATGTTCCTCTGTAGGGTTTGAGGAGAAAGGAGCTGCTGAGCATCGCCTGCTGTTTCACTGTGACACTGACAGCTTGATCACCAGATTTCCTCCAGATCAGCTGTCCGATCTCTACCTGCTGATGGGTAAGAGAACGTTTACAGTGGTCAGTGTGAAATGACCAGGAGAACAACGTCATCTCAATGCTGTGAATTTGGTACTGAATGTTGATTCTGTGCCGTCTCAGCTTGACGGTCACATCACAGGAAATGTTCAAGCAAAAACTGCTCCATTTAGTTTTTAGGTCAAGTTTAACATTCACCTTATTAGGTAATATTGAGTTTACTGGAAAACTGAGCTGGAATATTTACTTTCATACTATTAAAACCAGAAATATTAATAAATACAATACTACAGTATAATATTTCACTTTAGGGCAGCTGGTTTTAAACTCCTACATCAGGTTCATTCACTGGAGAGCATCTTTTTCAGGTTGGCATGAATTCGTCCGCCTCTGAATTGTGATCTGGTGAGCTGGTGTGGAGTGACTCATTTGGAACATGTGGGTTGGTTTCTTGTGAAGAAACTCCACATCTCTCCTAAACTCGGTTCTTTCCAGGTTCTCGTGCACTGCTATTTCAAACCATAAAAGCTGAAGATCAGCACATAAAAGGCTCTAATGTAAACACTGTGAACACCATTTCTGGAGCTGACATTAAATGATCACAATGCGTTTTTGAACGAGCGACTCGGTACAGCAGTAAACTTCCACTTCAGCCTCCAACAGCTGGTTCTCTTATCATGGCACACTGTACTGTACTGACTGATAAAGAGCTGATATTAAAGACTCCAGTGACTACAGTCTTGTTCCAGATTAGGAACAGCCTGTACAGTATCATATCACTGAGCAGAACAAGTCAGTGGAAAAGTCATTTATATTAGAGCAACAGAGTGCATCATATTTCCTCTAAGACTGAAAACTAATGCAGAGAAGTGTTGATATGTACATATCATATGGACATATTGATATGTACATATTGATATGTGTACATATTGATTAGGACAGTGAAGTCAAACAGTCCATATTTGCTGAACACTTAGACAGTCATTAAATATGAAAACATGAGTGAAATAGCACAGAACATAAACGTGTGTGTTTCACTGTTCAAAGTGCTAAATAGGTTATCTTCACATAAAAGATAAAAAGAGCTATAAAATTAAAGAAATGTTAAAGTTGGCGTGTGATCTCATACACTGCAAGTTAGATGTTAAGAGTGTCTTGCTGGAAACTCAAATACCTACTAATTATGACTTCATGAGCCACTTTCTCTGGAAATAATGGAAAATGAAATCTTTATTCACTGAAAGTAATTGTATTCAAAATTGAATGGAACTGAAACTTACTAGCTGACAATAAACCTATTAATTCAGATTTTTTTGGCTATTCTTTGTTGTTTTTTTGTGGGCTACAGTCGGTTCAGACAGAATTTTGTCAGCTACAGTCGGTTCAGACAGAATTTTGTGGGCTACAGTCGGTTCAGACAGAATTCTGTGGGCTGCAGTCGGTTCAGACAGAATTTTGTCAGCTACAGTCGGTTCAGACAGAATTTTGTCAGCTACAGTCGGTTCAGACAGAATTTTGTGGGCTACAGTCGGTTCAGACAGAATTTTGTCAGCTACAGTCGGTTCAGACAGAATTTTGTGGGCTACAGTCGGGTCAGACAGAATTTTGTCAGCTACAGTCGGTTCAGACAGAATTTTGTGGGCTACAGTTGGGTCAGACAGAATTTTGTGGGCTACAGTCGGGTCAGACAGAATTTTGTGGGCTACAATCGGTTCAGACAGAATTTTGTCAGCTACAGTCGGTTCAGACAGAATTTTGTCAGCTACAGTCGGTTCAGACAGAATTTTGTGGGCTACAATCGAGTTCAGGCAGAATTTTGTGGGATACAGTCGGTTCAGACAGAATTTTGTGGGATACAGTCGGGTCAGACAGAATTTTGTGGGATACAGTCGGGTCAGACAGAATTTTGTGGGCTACAGTCGGTTCAGACAGAATTTTGTGGGCTACAATCGGTTCAGACAGAATTTTGTGGGCTACAGTCGGTTCAGACAGAATTTTGTGGGATACAGTCGGTTCAGACAGAATTTTATGGGCTACAGTTGGTTCAGACAGAATTTTGTGGGCTACAGTCGGGTCAGACAGAATTTTGTGGGCTACAGTCGGGTCAGACTGAATTTTGTGGGGCTACAGTCGGTTCAGACAGAATTCTGTGGGCTACAGTTGGTTCAGACAGAATTTTGTGGGCTACAATCGGGTCAGACAGAATTTTATGGGCTACAGTTGGTTCAGACAGAATTTTGTGGGCTACAGTTGGGTCAGACAGAATTTTGTGGGCTACAGTTGGGTCAGACAGAATTTTGTGGGGCTACAGTCGGTTCAGACAGAATTTTGTGGGGCTACAGTCGGGTTCAGAAACAATTTTGTGGGGCTACAGTCGGTTCAGACTGTCCATTTCTATTTGATTTGAGATAGAATTTTGTTGGGCCACAGCCTGGCAGACTTTTGATAGAACAAGTTTTCTTTGGTCTTGTGTCAGGTAAAAAAAATTCAAAACACGGTGCTGTGGATCAGGTCCAACTTTGGCTTAAAAATTGCTCAGGCCAAAACCTTCAGCCTGACTAAAGATCTAGTACAGAGCACCTGATACCAGAGTTGTCTGTCTGTGTTTTTATAAATTTGAAATTTTTAATTAGCACAGTAGGGATTATGATCTCTGGTATTGCGAAATCACTAGAATCACTACCTGATCAAAATGAACGGACACAGATGGATGATACCTCGTGTATTTTCAGAGGACTGCAATTAACTGAAACTTTAATGAAACACAAGCACACAGAAGTAAAGCTGGGGAATAAACTGTATTTTGATTGTTCCTTCAGACGACCATCCTCAGGTCTTCATTAAAAACCTGCTGTTGGAGTGCAGTCATGTGGAGCTGCAGCCCAGCTCACTGCTCAGGATCTTCTATGAAGGCTGCTTCCTGAAACACTGGGTGAGGCTCATTTACACTCATTTACATTCATTAATTCATTTCAGTTATTAGTGTGATTTGTCTGTATTGTATATTTATCCTACATAATTACTGTTCTTCATTTCAGTATGTAAGTGTATGTTTAACTTCATAGTCACATAATGAATTATATTCACATTTAATTTACATTGTGTAATTCTGAGTCTGCAGCTTTATTGACTAACTTTTTTTTGTTTTGACATCACAAAATGGAATGGGTGTTTTTGTGTCTGCAGAACAAGAATGTACACAACAATAACTCATCAAAATCAAAACAATAAAATATTCCGTCTTCTACTTACAGAAAGAGATGTCATTTAAAGTTTAGAATCTGCATCTTCTACAGATTCTCCCAGTTTCAGGAACTACGAGTCAGAGATAATTCAAATAAAATCACAGCATACATTGATGGCAATCACAGTGACTTCTAAGGTTAATGTCGGTCCAACTACAGGTAGATAATTCTGTGCTCTTGTCTTCTCAGGTTGGCCAGAGGAGGTCATACTCTGTAAAAATGGGCTCCTCGGGGAGCATCCTGGAGAAAACATGTCCATCATCTGCACCTGGAGCTCTTCTGCAGGTTCCTTTAGTTACATGTGGAAGTGAAAACATGACTGTGAAGTTGTCGGCTAAAGAGCTGAAAGGCGTGAGATTCGGAGGTCAGTTTGAGTCCATGTTAAAAATACTGTGCCTGATAATGTCATATGATCCATGTTGGTTCCAGGAGATTTTGTAAGAGCAGATATTAAACTGTTCTTTTCTTTTTCAGAGGACAAGAAGAACCTCTCTCAAGACCCTGGTCTAACACAATGGAGAAATGAAGATGGCCTGTTTATCAAAGTGAAGAACAAAGGAATGGAGGTAATTTCAGCCACTGAATTTCTCCAGGCTAATCTTTGTGGGTCACTGCAAAGTAATAAACAAGCAAATGCTCATTTTTAGACACAGATGTAATCTATATTATACGCTAAAAGGATAATATGGATAATATGGAGGAGAAAAATCTTACTATTCCTGTTCTCCTTGGTGTGCTCGGTAAATAACTCCCTTCATTTATCCTTCCTTCAGGATCACCTTGCATTCCAGTATATTGACCTAACAGATGAATCATACACTGCAAAAGTGTCCTGTGCTCAGCATCAACCTAAACGACTTCCCAGATCAAGCTTCCAGAGAGACGTCATACACACACATCCCTACAGTCGACATTACAGACACGTTTATAGGCATCATCATAGGCGATCTAATAGAAAACCACGTGACTGTTTTCAGGGGCATCATCACAGGTTTTGCTCAGTCTACAGACCCCCTATGGTGACCCCAACAGGGTATGTTGAAGATCTACCTGAGCAATCAATTTATGAGTTTTGGGGTTTCACGTCCATTCCACCAAAGCCTTATAGGCCATCTCCAAGACTAACTCTACCACCTCAAAGCATGGCAACTAACAGTCTACTGAAAAAGACCACTACAGTGTCTGAAACAACTACCACTTCTGCTGAAACAAGCACAGCTGTAAGGACCCCCTCAGTATTCGCAACAATCTCACTTGCAGCAATGACCACATCAGCAGCTGCATCCCCTGTGGAGTCCACGATAGCTGAAGTTACTACGTCTACTGCTGCCACTACTACAGCTCTTTCAACAGGCACTGTCACAAGTACATCTGTAAAGGTAGATGCAGTAGTTCCAACAACCTCAACTGCAACCACAACTTCACCTGCTGTCACAACCACACCAGCGGCAACTTCTAGAGATATATACTCTATGAAAATCACTACAATACATGAAACTACTACAACCACTTCTGCAACTACTACATTCCCTGAAACAAGCCCTACTTCAAAGACTGCTACATTAGCCACAACAGCATCAACCACAGCAGCAACATCCACAACAGCAGGTAATACTGCAGCTGTAACATCTGTGATGTCTGCTACAATAGCAGCAACTGTAGCGGCTGAAAAAAGCACTGCTGCAAGGGACAGTACACTAGGTGCACAAACTACAACTGCAGCAACAACCAAAAGGGAACTAACTACTGTAGCTCCCTCCACTGGAAAGTCCACTACCACATCTGAAACCACTGTTGCAGCCTCAACTGCAGCAAAAATACCAGCACTAACTACTCCAGCTGCATCTACTACAACAGAATCTCAAACTACAAATGCAGCTGCTGGAACTACTACAGCTCCTGAAATAAGTACCATTGCAAAGACATCCTCGGTTGCTGCTACAACCTCAACTGCAGCAACACCACCAGCACTAACTACTGTAATTGCATCCACTGCAACGATCAGAACTGCTGCAACTACTAGAGCTCCCGAGACAAGCACTAATGCACCAACTGCAGCAAAAACTCCAGCAGCAACTACTGCAGCAGCTGTATCCTCTTTGAAGTCTACAACAGAAACTGCTGCAACTAATGTAGCTCCTATAACAAGCACAACCAGAAGTACCTCGTCAGCGACTGCTACACCAATCACACCAACAGGAACTACTGCAGCTGTTTCTGCTCTTTGGTCCACTAAAGTCGTAGAAACAACTGCTGCTACTGCTGCTACTGCTGCAACTACAACTGCTGGAGATCTGGAAACAAGTATGACTGCAAGGATCTCTTCAGTAGCTGCTACAACCTCAACTGCAGCAACTCCTGCAGCAGCAGCTGTGTCCTCTGCGACAACCACATCATCTCAAACTGCATCTGCAATTGCTGCAACTACTATAGCTCCTGAAGCAAGTACTACTGAAGGAATCTCTACAGTAGCCACAAGCATATCAGCTGCATCTAGGAGTGCACCATCAGCAACAACATCGATCTCTGAAAAGACCAGTACACTAGCCAAAGGGGCAACCACACCAACAGTGTACCCTACAACGACCATCTCAGCAAATGATCTCATCACTAGAATTGAGCAATTGTTGGAGCTACTACGAAGATTACTAAGCTTCCCACGGCTTCCATAGCTTCCACATAAACCAATGTAGGAGCAACCTCAACAGTAACAACCACTGCATTTGTATTTACTCTAAGGACCACTACATATGATAAATGTTCTACCACCAATGCAGCAGTTATTACAATGATAAGGCCTGATTAACACATACTGCGTCTGCATGGCGTAAATGATACGGAAAGTCTTGCTTTTAATTTCAGCGTCCATTTTAACAGGTCAGTGCAACCGAGCATCCCAGTATTTCGTATTTAGAGAACAGACCTGGTGCTGATTTCTTCTGTGCAGCAAAATATCCTAAAATAATCCATGAAAATCAATGAAAATTAAACAGAAAATTGTACAATTGTATTTTTTTTTTTATTTAATTCATCACAACATTCTAGTTAAACATTCCATACTGCAAACAGATTTCCTGGTTGGTCTACCAGGCTTGAAACTTATGCCTAATCACAAGTCAGAATGCTGTCGAGGATAAACAAACATACTGTGCACTTTTATAAATTACATTTTTGTTGATCAGAGTGACTGATGTGTCCATTTATGTGTCTGGAAAAAGGAATGTCTGTATAACTTTCTTGCTGCTCCACTCTACACAAACACTGTAGGTATGAAAGGCCAGTGCGTTCAAGCTGCAGAGCTCACGCCACGCGAACGCAGCATGTGTGAATCAGGCGCAACACTGCATGAACAAGCACTCCTGCAAAGATCTTTACAATATCCTCAATAAACTCAATGGTGGACGTAACACCAGCAGCAACCTCTTGAAGTACTGCTGCTCCAATCTAAAGGCCACTAATACCACTAAAACAGCATCTTGTACAACCACAGATACTGTCACAACTTTGAAGAATGTCTTCAAGGCTTCAGTAACTAAAACTGTGACAACCACCAAACATGCTGTATCCACTGCACTTGCTTGAACATTAAACATTACCTCAGGTGACCAAACCAAAGCAACCAAAGCAGCAAGTTCAACAGCAGCTGCTACACCAAATTAGACGCCTACAAGAGCATAGCTTCCTCTGAGAAACACCTGTGGATGTTTTCAGATCTGAAGCAGCTTGATTTTCTCCTCTCTCTCAAAGATTAAAGCTTTAAGTGCTGTTTATCTGATGAGGGTGGTTTCGGTGGCTACCAGGTCTTCCAAGTGGTTGTTAGGAGACACATTTTCTGTGAAGCTTTTAATCAGTTTTTAAACTCCAGTTTTGGAAACTCCTTTGACTTTGGTCTTCCTTATGCAAGCAGATTATCTCATGTCTAATCTCCTCACAAACATCTTGTACTTAGTTGTACTTACCTCAAGGGCGCTCTCTAACTTTTGCAAAGAACTGAAATGTTATGTATGCATTAATGATCATTTCAGCTTAATTTGCTGTGTACCTTGTGGTTTTGTAGCTAAATAAAAGTGCTATACAAATAAAGACCATTATTGCTATTATTATTATTATTATTATTATTACTATTATTATTATTATTTATTCCAGTGTCTTTTGAGAACATTTTAATTTGATCTCAATTTAAATTTTTTGCAGTATTTCTGTAAAGGACTGATGGGAAACAGTGTTTTTTGTATTTGTAATGTCTTGTTTTATTGTCCCACTTTTCTTGTTCAATTTAGTTGTAATATTTGGTTTAGCTTCATGCTATGTTTTTATGCATTTGATTATTCAGGTGTGTTTTTTTTGTTTTGTTTTTTTTTGTAGAAATCTCTCTGAGGCTGATTGGCTGAGCCAGTCCAACAGACTGCTCCAGTAAGTGATTAAGCATAGTTTCCTACTAATATTTAACAAGCCACACCCCTCCTGCAGTGGGATTGGTTGGAAGTTTTTCTCCTGCCCTCCATTTCTAGGACAGGCTACTGTCCAACCAATCCCAGTGCAAGGGTACACAAAGGTACAGCCAATCACTGTTCAGTAGCCAAGGGAAACTAGTGGTCTCTAATGGTCACGATTACACCAGATCCCATTAGAAAGCAAAACCATCAGGTTTTCATTCAAATAGTTCTAATGGTCTCTTTTCATTAGGGATGGATTGCGGGGCTTGTCGCAATACGGGTGGGAAATAAAATAGACGCTGCGTATGCGCGTGGTGTCCTTTCAGTTTTGCTTCCGTTTGCGTTGGCGGTGATGGAGGTGTGATTGGGCGGACTGCTTGTGAGAATCAATCTCATGAGCCAATCCTAGCGCAGGAGGGCCGCTTTCAGCCAATCTGAGCGCAGGTAGGCGTGGATTTCATGAATACGAGTGGGAAACAAACAAACGCGCCTAGGTTGAACAGAAGAAAAAAAGATCGGAGCGCGCGCTGGAGTTTCACCTTCCTCCGGCGCGAGAGGGAGTGTGTGATGGCGTGTGGAGCCACCCTGAAGCGCTCCGTGGGGCTCGAGCCACTGCACGGTCCTGCGTCACCCAAGCGGAGGAGGTGCAGCCCGCTGTCCGGGCCAGGAGCCACTCAGCCCTGCCAGAGGTGCAGCCTGAGCGCCGCTGCTGAGCTTCACTCCTTCGCGGGTCGCTGTAAAGGATGGAGAGCCTGGTGTTCATGTTTGAAGCTGAAGTCACTTGTTAAGATCTCAGACCTTCAGTACGGTTTTGAAGGCAGTGATTAATCCGTCATTCTGATCTCAGTCAGAGCCACAGAGGCAGAAGTGGACTGGTCAGCTTTGGAGGCTGTTTGTCTGTGTTTGCTGGACTCGGACCCTTCTTCTTCTGCTACACGTTGCTGCCCCACACTGGAGCTCTTCAGCTCATCTCCACACTCTCAGAATAATAAAGCTCAGGTCCATCTTTGGCTTATAACTCAAAATATACATCATGTGTGTATAAAAATTATAAATATATATGTGTTGGCTACGGTTACTATGTTTTGTATAGATTGTTAAATTTGTACATGCCAGTTTGATTATAATGTAATACAATATTATACTAGAGCCAATATAGTATAATTTAATACTAGTGAGTGTCAGTCTTTAGGGCTCTACTCTTGGTAGTGTCAGTCTTTAGGGCTCTAACTCTTGGTAGTGTCAGTCTTTAGGGCTCCTACTCTTGGTAGTGTCAGTCTTTAGGGCTCTACCTCTTGGTAGTGTCAGTCTTTAGGGCTCCTACTCTTGGTAGTGTCAGTCTTTAGGGCTCTACTCTTGGTAGTGTCAGTCTTTAGGGCTCCTACTCTTGGTAGTGTCAGTCTTTAGGGCTCTACTCTTGGTAGTGTCAGTCTTTAGGGCTCCTACTCTTGGTAGTGTCAGTCTTTAGGGCTCCTACTCTTGGTAGTGTCAGTCTTTAGGGCTCTAACTCTTGGTAGTGTCAGTCTTTAGGGCTATAACTCTTGGTAGTGTCAGTCTTTAGGGCTCCTACTCTTGGTAGTGTCAGTCTTTAGGGCTCTAACTCTTGGTAGTGTCAGTCTTTAGGGCTCTAACTCTTGGTAGTGTCAGTCTTTAGGGCTCTTACTCTTGGTAGTGTCAGTCTTTAGGGCTCTAACTCTTGGTAGTGTCAGTCTTTAGGGCTCTAACTCTTGGTAGAGTCAGTCTTTAGGGCTCTTACTCTTGGTAGTGTCAGTCTTTAGGGCTCTAACTCTTGGTAGAGTCAGTCTTTAGGGCTCTAACTCTTGGTAGTGTCAGTCTTTAGGGCTCTTACTCTTGGTAGTGTCAGTCTTTAGGGCTCTACTCTTGGTAGTGTCAGTCTTTAGGGCTCTACTCTTGGTAGTGTCAGTCTTTAGGGCTCTTACTCTTGGTAGTGTCAGTCTTTAGGGCTCTAACTCTTGGTAGAGTCAGTCTTTAGGGCTCTTACTCTTGGTAGTGTCAGTCTTTAGGGCTCTACCTCTTGGTAGTGTCAGTCTTTAGGGCTCTTACTCTTGGTAGTGTCAGTCTTTAGGGCTCTTACTCTTGGTAGAGTCAATCTTCAGGGCTTTTCCTTTAGTTAGTGCCAGTCTGTGGGACTCTTAGTCTTACTCACTGAACTAGACTGATTTAAGTAGTGATGTGTTTAGTTTCAGGCTCTTATTACCCCACTGATCTGACTGTTACCTCACTTACCTGCCTTATTACCCCACTTATCTGACTGTTACCTCACTTACCTGCCTTATTACCCCACTGATCTGACTGTTACCTCACTTACCTGCCTTATTACCCCACTTATCTGACTGTTACCTCACTTACCTGCCTTATCACCCCACTTATCGGACTGTTACCTCACTTACCTGCCTTATTACCCCACTTATCTGACTGTTACTCCACTTACCTGCTTTATCACCCCACTTATCGGACTGTCACGTCACTTACCTGCCTTATCACCCCACTTATCTGACTGTTACCCCACTTACCTGCTTTATCACCCCACTTATCTGACTGTTACCTCACTTACCTGCCTTATTACCCCACTTATCGGACTGTCACGTCACTTACCTGCCTTATTACCCCACTTATCGGACTGTCACGTCACTTACCTGCCTTATTACCCCACTTATCGGACTGTTACCTCACTTACCTGCCTTATTACCCCACTTATCTGACTGTCACCTCATTCATCCCTTTCTCTGCCACTATACACCCTTCAACTGCTGCTGCACTCAGCACTTTAACTTCAGACCCATACTTTGCACAATGTAAGGTTTACAGGTGTGACTGTGTGTGTGTGTTTACAGGTATGACTGTGTGTGTGTGTTTACAGGTATGACTGTGTGTGAGTGTTTACAGGTATGACTGTGTGTGTGTTTACAGGTATGACTGTGTGTGTGTTTACAGGTATGACTGTGTGTGAGTGTTTACAGGTATGACTGTGTGTGTGTTTACAGGTATGACTGTGTGTGAGTGTTTACAGGTATGACTGTGTGTGTGTGTGTTTACAGGTATGACTGTGTGTGTGTGTTTACAGGTATGACTGTGTGTGAGTGTTTACAGGTATGACTGTGTGAGTGTTTACAGGTATGACTGTGTGTGTGTTTACAGGTATGACTGTTTACAGGTATGACTGTGTGTGTGTGTTTACAGGTATGACTGCGTGTGTGTGTTTACGGGTATGACTG